ACCTTCCCGAATTACAGATTCTCTAAAACGTCTTCCAGCAGCCAAAGAACACGGTTTCCCGATCAACAAGGCATGCAAAACAGACATATGATTTTCGTACAGGCTGTTCTAGAAGCAGTGTACACCATAGTCAAATACACGTTCCTACCGCTTAGGCGGTCTTTTAAGCCACACTCTGATGGTCATTCGATGACGTCGATCCGTATGCTACATGTACCTTTCCTTTCAAAGGCACGCTAGAACTTCGAACAGAGCTTGCTGAACTGTTGCGAAAGTTCTGATTTGAACCGCAGGAAGTATGAGCCGGAAGGTTTGCGGACATGTGCGATACTCTGTGTTGTATCAACGCTTTTGTACGTGCATTACCGTCTACGTCTTCACAGGCGGGGAGTTTCAGAATATTCACCTGTCCCAAGTCATGAATATTCAGTCGGATAGGTGCACGCGGAATAAGCCTACTACTATTATGATGGAATGATTGAATGATGAAGAAACTTGATGGGACTCGGACGAGAGTACGTTCATTGTTTTGACATTTTACACTCAATAGCGTTTAAAAAGTGCCACATAATCCAAGCAAACATCGTACTCCTTTTTTGAGCATGCGAAATGTACCCTCAATTGGAGTGATGCCAAGCAGGATGAAGGACTGTTACAAGACGAATCACACATTTTCAGCACCAGATTAATGCCCTCTTATTTCTACATATCGTACTATCTCTTGGCAAGGCATGGTAACCTGAGAAATCTGCCCAAACTGCTCAGAGACGTTGCTGCTGTTTCGCTACAAACGATGACTTTTTGCCGGCGAACTAATCTCTCACTAGAATCGCAAAGCATATAATTCGGGAGGATTTATTCTAACAACAACGAGGACAGCTGTGATCAAGGTCAGTGAACATCGGCGCATCCTGCGTTTCGTGCACCCTGTACCGCACATGAGATGTGTTCAGACAAACAGTGCTTTGGTTGTCCTTCTCATCAGCAAGAGCCTGTTAGTTTCACGGTACACTGTGTCAGTCTTCAAAGCCCTTCTGCATCAATAAGTGTAGTTCAGCCTGGCCATCCCTTTATATTTATCCAGCTCAAGACCTAGCATTTGCGTTTTGTTCTAAAAAAGATTGAGTGGCAATGGTTGCATCTCTTCGGGATACCCTCATTCGGAGGGTACAATGCTAAGGGGAATGCCCAGTCAGACTAAAGTACTTCATGGACTTTAAGGCAAGCGGGATTTTAAAATGTGGTATTGACTCTGGATGAAAACTGATTCTTAGATCTCAGCCAACACAACGAAAGATCCGATCGCACACTTACTAGGTTACTGGGGCGTGGATCACTACACACAAATGTCTATGAAGGCATACTTCATCTAGCCTAAACTATAGATTTGTAAGCCACGTCATCATGGAGCCGATATCCACATCTTAGCATTTCATTGAATAGATAAAACCCAACTGAGAGAGGCAATAAATCTTGGATGAGGCAAAAAAAACGTTCGAAAAAACAGAGGATGGTTTGTGCAGCGGAACTGAAGTTCGTTCATTGTCCACTGCCTGTCCTCTGTCCTTGTTATCAAGGTCAAATTCCCTGGTGATGTGTTTATCGGTTGTAGCTGTCTGGTTACCCAAAAACTGGGTTGAATCAAGCGCTAGCTAGTCTGCCAATGACCGAATCATTATCATTGTTTCAAAATTCCGAAATATTAATTTTTCTCCCAATAAACATATTTTTCCAGTGTCTCTGTTTACAAACATTCCTCAGCGACATATCCGAGTGTGATCCAATCAAATGATGTTATTTTGCCCACCCCACATCCAAGCCGTCTTCATCTGTTTTCGACATTTAGTATATTACGCTTTTTGGCTGACTGGCTTGTTTTTAATCTGTCCCACTGCCCTACTAATGACCTCGTGTTTTGCATACCTTTGCGATGGACTAATATTCCGGAATTTTAGGCAAATGTTTCAGCGAATAGTGAAGTGCTGTAGCACTTACCTAGGATGCCATTGTGAAATAATCTGATGTAAATTAGTCATCCAGTGCAAAGGCATCTGCCTTACTCTACTTAACGCTGCTCATGCAGTGTGTAATAGCTGAAGATCCAAACCTGTTTCACTTTAACTGCCGCTGGCTATGGTAGGTACCATTCAACAGCTGTTTGCTTACCGCCACGAAAGCGGACAGTTTGGCCGCGTGTATTCAATACACCCGTGTCCATACTTGCGTGTTCTTCTGACTCTGTGAACTACAGTAGACTGGCTGTGGTTTCGCAGTAAACATCCCAATTCTGTCTGAGTTCCCCATATGAACGAGAGTTCGTTCGCGCGACTTGTTCAGAGGCTCAACTTCTCCTAACCCCGGAAGAGCGTATTCTGTCTGAGACGTGTAGGTTTCTACATTAACGCCACGATCCATGCGTCCAGTTTCGGTATCACATTTTGGAGGCAGTAAAAAGGCTGCGTGTGACTTTGTGTAGAGACGCAACAATGACCACGATCCAATTTTCCGTTGTTTTTTCCCCGGCTTATTAGTTCATTCCGCATCTTTTCAAAATTTGATATTTGTCTGATGAGTTGGTTGATGTCCGAAGGTATGGCTGTTTTTGTACGTTTTTCCCTTACGAATCCTTCCGAATCGCATTCACATCAACTCATCTCACGGCTCTTCCTGTAATGGCTTTCTTTTGAATGCTACCTTGTTCCTGCGCACAGCATTTGCGAAAGTCAACTCATTCATTCGCTCCTAAAGCGATAATCTTTAATAGAATCGGATTCATTGGGCTTTTCGATGGTCTTATTACAGGGAGTTAATGTGTCGTCATATCGTTTTAGTTTGTTTCCGATGGGCGAAGAAACGTTTGCGAATCGATTCCCAAGCGAGTCAAGCAGCTAAGCAACAAGTGGTCGCAACCAGATCAACAATTTGTTTCCGTACATTTTCACGAGAGCTGCACTGTGGGCGACGTAATATGTTATCCTCTTCGTACCCATGTGGCAGACCATTTATCTGTAGCACCCTTCCGGTGCCATGCCACCGGAAGGAAGTACGAGAGCTGAGATACTGTCAGGTTGCCTAAGCCAAGTCAGAGGAGGTCAAACGGCAGAGGTCGGGTTCGAACCACGGACCTTCCGGTCAGTAAGTTCGTGCTCTAACCACTGAGTCATCTCAACTGAGACTAAATCGTGTGACGAATGATGCACGTTGAGTGCGCGATGACAATATAGAAACCGTTCAGAGCTGAGAGTCAGGTTGCCTAAGCCAAGTCAGAGGAGGTCAAACGGCAGAGGTCGGGTTCGAACCACGGACCTTCCGGTCAGTAAGTTCGTGCTCTAACCACTGAGTCATCTCAACTGAGACTAAATCGTGTGACGAATGATGCACGTTGAGTGCGCGATGACAATATAGAAACCGTTCGCACATACCTAAATGCAACGTGTTAAGTATGACAGTTTGGGCAATGCACGCTGTATATTCCCTTAGTAGTTGATCCTTAGACCACATGCTGGAATCCATGGCGTCGGGGAACATACATTTTGGAACGATGAACTAGGAGTCAACTGTCGACATTTGGTGCATGTCTAGAGAAAGTATGTTCAAAGTAATGGTGGTTTTTTAGTACGTGTGTAGGAAGGCGCGTTTGGTGCAGTATAGTGAAAACCTATGAGACGGAGCAGTCACTTTATTCTTCATATCGGAAGTCAGATTGTGCTTTATTGTCTTATTAACTCTAGATCACTCTTTCAGCCACATGACCCCCATTATTTCTCCGTAGAATCAGTGGATAACGCGGGGTGGTTAGTCGTACCACGCAACCTTGATCATCCGGTCCACACACTTAATAGTGCGAAGACATTGGAGACCCAACAGCCTGCCCTCAAGTATCATTTATTGGCATGCAGTGAACCGTACAGAATTAGCTCCTCAAGTTACGAATGTTAGTAAGTTGGCTAAAGCGGCCTGTGACATAATTTCCTCATCGCTGACAATGTGTTCGGGGACCAGCCGCCCCTAACAACCGAACATCACGTCATTTGGACGCATGTATCACGTGCAGGACACGGGCCAGACGAAGGCATGCCCTGATTGGTCAGAACGCCAGCCAATCCGAGTCAAGCACCTTTGACTCGACGCTTCTCGCCCCCTCACGGACATTATGGCACGACCTTGTGGAACACTCTCTGACTACCCTATAAATACAGTAGTAGTGATTTTCCTTTGTCTCCATAAGGGTCTGTGTAGAGCTACCGTGCCTTTTGACATACCATAATGGGCGGAGCAGGAAGCCAAGGGACCGGTACAGATTTGCACGACCGTACACCAACCGACCGTACAACAACAGAAGCAGTTCGAAGGAGCTCAAATGTATCTCTGATGCGCAGTATGTCGGTGAATGCGACAAAAACAGTTGAGCCCACGTCTTCTTCCGCAGATGCTGCTGCCAGCTACAGTTGAGCGTCTTCTTCCGCAGATGCTGCTGCCAGCTCAATTACCGAATTCAATTTTGATGCTGAATCTGGACGAACTTTCGAAAGTTAGTTGGGGAAATATGAAGACATGTTTCAAACCGACTTTGCTCAGTTTGATGATGCATGGAAAGTTCGTCTGTTGCTGCGGAAACTGGAAACAGCTGAACACGATCGGTTCACAGATTTCATACTCCCCAAACATCCTCGTGACCTTGGTTTCGCAGATGCTGTCAAAATTCTGGCCCAAATATTCGGTGAGCAAAGTTCCTTGTTCAATATTCGTTATCAGTGTCTCAAGATTACCAAAAGGGATACTGAGGATTTCATCACATATGCCGGTGTGGTCA